CAAATTTCGGACCGTCGGGTATGGGACCTGTCCGCTTGCCCGCTCTGTCCGCGTCCCCGCTCAGGCACCGTGAGCAGTCCAGCTTTGTTTATGCTCGAGTGAACACTAACCTGCGCTCTCATTCACACATTTTACGATTATTTCGTTGTGTTTAGTACTTGTGGGACTGTGAAATAAGCTGCCATGGGCCCAAAGAAACTTGCTAGTGGTACCCCTGTGGTAAAGAAAGTGAGAAACACCATAGATGTGAAGAAGGAAATAATACAGAAGTATGAGAGTGGTGCGAGACTTGTTGAGCTTGCCAGGATGTACAGAGGACTGTGGACAGTTATTTTGTGAGACAGAAATAGACGACTGTGGAGTTATTTTGTGAGACAGACAATTGTGGACAGTTATTTTGTGAGACAGAAACAGACGACTGTGGAGTTATTTTGCGAGACAGAAACAGACTGTGAAGTTATTTTGTGAGACAAACAGACGATTGTGGACAGTTATTTTGTGAGACAGAAACAGACGACTGTGGAGTTATTTTGTGAGACAGAAACAGACGACTGTGGAGTTATTTTGTGAGACAAACACACGATTGTGGACAGTTATTTTGCGAGACAGAAACAGACGACTGTGTACAGTTATTTTGCGAGACAAACAGACGATTGTGGACAGTTATTTTGTGAGACAGAAACAGATGACTGTGGAGTTATTTTGTGAGACAAACAGTCGATTGTGGACAGTTATTTTGTGAGACAGAAACAGACGACTGTGGACAGTTATTTTGTGAGACAGAAACAGACGACTGTGGACAGTTATTTTGCGAGACAGAAACAGACGACTGTGGAGTTATTTTGAGATAAACAGACGATTGTGGACAGTTATTTTGTGAGACAAACAGACGACTGTGGACAGTTATTTTGTGAGACAGAAACAGACGACTGTAGACAGTTATTTTGTGAGACTGGGGTCCAATGACTCCAGATGCCATCACCAATCTTCAATAAAGGTAAGTAAAAATGTTATTTTATATTACTATACGTATATTCGCCTTCTGTTATATAAATGTGTATTTATATATAATCATTTTTTAATTTAATATACAGTCCACAAATTTATATATTTACCAGCATTCCTGGTGATGTATATTTCATTTAATTAATAGGTCCAGAGCAACTTGTAAATATGACAGTGGTAGGTATCGAAGGGGGACATTTTTTGCGACCTAGGTGTCCCAAATTCCTACTTGTCTAACTGATAAATAATTATCTATGTTCATTTATGTACTGTTATGTATATAATGATACACCCAAGTAAATGCAATTTTCCACATATATATACATTTGGACCGTTTACGGGTTAATTGTTTTAAGAATTACAGGTTTGATTATGATTATAGGTAATGAGGATGCTAGCATATTAACAATGTGGACACTTTCAAATTTTTAAATGGTTGTGAGGGTTACCGATATTGAGAATAAGAATATGTATTTTTAACATATGTTAGTGACAATGAGAATATGGGTACGTAGTTTTCACATATTTAGCTGATGTTGGGACATGTTAGAGAGATAAAGTGTTTTTTAATGATAGTTTTGAAGATGCTGGCTGAGACAGTGGCTCCAGATATTCCTCACAGAGTTCCAGATTTTGGGCCCTTTAATTTAAACTGAATTTCTGAGATTTAACTGGACACCGAGAATATCATAAAGAATTTTGTGCCTAGTGTTATGTTCACGGGTCCTATTGTAACTAACAAGAAAATGCTTCAGGTCATGATTAATATTAGAATTCATAAATAACAAAAAAAAGGCACAATACTGTGACTGGAACGATACACAAATAACCCGCACATAAAAGAGAGAAGCTTACGGCGATATTTCGGTCCGACTTGGACCATTTACAAAGTGTGACTTTGTAAACGGTCCAAGTCGGACCGGTGGCCTGGTGGCTAAAACTCCCGCTTCACACACGGAGGGCCCGGGTTCGATTCCCGGCGGGTGGAAACATTTCGACACGTTTCCTTACACATGTTGTCCTGTTCACCTAGCAGCAAATAGGTACCTGGGTGTTAGTCGACTGGTGTGGGTCGCATCCTGGGGGACAAGATTAAGGACCCCAATGGAAATAAGTTAGACAGTCCTCGATGACGCACTGACTTTCTTGGGTTATCCTGGGTGGCTAACCCTCCGGGGTTAAAAATCCGAACGAAATCTTATCTTATCTTATCTTAAGCTTCTCTCTTTTATGTGCGGGTTATTTGTGTATTAGAATTATTCCGTAAATGTAGGATGTACAGAAAAGTGAATGTTTTGTACAGTAAGTAGATTTAGGTCTGTAAAGAGTGAAGACGTGTGTTGTCTAGCAGTCGACTGTGTGATCATTCATACTAAAACTTTTTGTTGAGCTACTGTTGGCTTTAATGTTTTTATATATAAGCATATAATATTTATTGTCACTGTATTTTTAATTTAGGTTTAACCTTGTCAGAAATGTTCTGCATAACCATGAACTTTGTGCATGTATGACTAAATGTTACGCATCACTGAACAAACATTGTATAATGCGGAAATATATCTTTGACTTTGACATACTTGCATTTATAATCAAGATTTAAAGAGATATTCTAGCTGCTTGTTTGTTTTTCATGGTTATTAAGTAATACCACTGCAAACATGTACCTTACTTTCTTCATTTTCAAATTTAGCAAATAACATTTTTCTAAGTGTTAGTTGTGTTATTTTTCAGATGAAATTTATACTTAGAAATTAACTATGGAACTATTACTGCATATAGTTGATGCTTAGAGAAGTTTTTGTCCTGTTTTCTGGCAAATCTTACCTAACCTAACCTAAGCTAACCTAACCTAAGCTAACCTAACCTAAGCTAACCTAACCTAAGTTAACCTAAGCTAACCTAACCTAAGCTAACCTAACCTAAGCTAACCTAACCTTAGCTAACCTAACCTAACCTAAGCTAACCTAACCTAAGCTAACCTAACCTAAGCTAACCTAACCTAAGCTAACCTAACCTAACCTAAGCTAACCTAACCTAAGCTAACCTAACCTAAGCTAACCTAACCTAAGCTAACCTAACCTAAGCTAACCTAACCTAACCTTAGCTAACCTAACCTAACCTTAGCTAACCTAACCTAACTCAACCTAACCTAGAAAATTTGTGTTCATGATTAGAATGTCACGTCATGTGAATTATTGTACCTGTTACCTTACTAGACTATAACCTATGTTAATTCTTCAAGTTCTTGTACTGAAACTGAATGTCAGCTAATGTATAAAATAACACCTACAATGTCAGCTAATGTATAAAATAACACCTACAATGTCAGCTAATGTATAAAATAACACCTACAATGTCAGCTAATGTATAAAATAACACCTACAATGTCAGCTAATGTATAAAATAACACCTACAATGTCAGCTAATGTATAAAATAACACCTACAATGTCAGCTAATGTATAAAATAACACCTACAATGTCAGCTAATGTATAAAATAACACCTACAATGTCAGCTAATGTATAAAATAACACCTACAATGTCAGCTAATAAAGAAATAGTCTGTATAATGTCAGCTAATGTAAAAAACTTGTATGTTTAATGTAATACAATGAACAAAATAGTACCAATAATGTCATATAATGAGCAAAATAGTGGCTATAAACTTATAACTCAACTAATTATTTTTGATAATTATGTACAATAATGTCATTGTAGTCTTAAACTTGCACAAAATGCTCTGCAGAACCATGAACTTGTAACATTGTAGTCTTAAGCTTCTGCTCTGCAGAACCATGAACTTGCAACATTGTAGTCTTAACCTTCTGCTCCACAGAACCACGAACTTGCAACATTGTAGTCTTAAGCTTCTGCTCCACAGAACCATGAACTTGCAACATTGTAGTCTTAAGCTTCTGCTCCGCAGAACCATGAACTTGCAACATTGTAGTCTTAAGCTTCTGCTCCACAGAACCATGAACTTACAACATTGTAGTCTTAAGCTTCTGCTCCGCAGAACCATGAACTTGCAACATTGTAGTCTTAAGCTTCTGCTCCGCAGAACCATGAACTTACAACATTGTAGTCTTAAGCTTCTGCTCCGCAGAACCACGAACTTGCAACATGCACTATCAAGTGTCAACCTGCATTATTAATGTATCACGTGGAAATATACTTGTAATGTATCTCATCGTACTGTATTGTATTTCCTCTATGTAGTAATTTTTGACGTGAAACACAGGCCTAAGGCTGTGACAAATACCATTTATCGTGGGTATACAATTTCTTAATATTTCCGATGATTTTCCAACCGTTGTCGGAACTGAAAAATGTATTACATGTGTTAATATTTAGCTTTATATGACGGATAGGCACTGTGTCACTCCCACAGTGCCACCACCAGTGCCAGTGCCATCACTGACAGTGCTGCCACTACCACTAGTGCCAGTGCCACCACCAATCTGACACCAGAACCAGCAACCACTGACACCACAGTGCCACCATCATCACTACAGTGTCACCAGCACAACAGTGCCAACACGAGTGTCAACACCCCCCCCTGCTGACATCACTGACCTCTTGACAACTCCAGGCCCAGCTCAGTCAGCTTGTTCCTGACACACCAGTGCCAGTGCCAGCAGTGCCAGTGCCACCAGCAACAAACTGTGCCAACATGAGTGTCAACAACCCAGTCACCTCCCCTGCTGACATCACTGACCGCCTGACAACTACAGGCCCAGTTCTATCAGTTTATTCCTGACACCATCACAGTGCCAGTGCCAGACAGTGCCACCAGCAACACAAACTGTGCCAACACAAGTGTCAACCCCCCCCCCCCTTGCTGACATCACTGACCTCCTGACAACTACAGGCCCAGTTCTATCAGTTTATTCCTGACACCACCACAGTGCCAGTGCCAGCAGTGCCAGACAGTACCACAAAGTGCCAACACGAGTGTCAACAACCCCCCCCACCCCCCTGCTGACATCACTGACCTTCTGACAACTCCAGGTCCAGCTCCGCCAGCTTATCCCTGACGTCCTGTGGCAGCTGCTGCGCTAAACCCGCATGAATCTCACTCATGGCTGAACCCTGCGAGGTTTCCACTGAACCTAGAGCGAGGTTTCGAACCCGGAACCCTCAGTGAGGCTTCACCATCTTGGTTTTCAAACCATTACTGCCATCACCAGGCAGGAGATGGCAGCACCTTCCCTGCCATCACTGTGGTGAGGCTTCTCTCCTGCCGTCAGTCAGGCTTCTCTCAGCCGGGGCTGGTTTAAATGTACTCTGGGGACTACTGCACTCATTGTGGACTCTCACTGCCTTCAGTCAGGCTTCTCTCAGCCGGGACTGGTTCAAATGTACTCTGGGGACTACTGCACTCATTGTGGACTCTCACTACCTTCAGTGAGGCTTCTCTCACCGGGGACTTGTTTTAAATGTACTCTGGGGACTACTGCACTCATTGTGGACTCTCACTGCCTTCAGTCAGGCTTCTCAGCCGGGGCTGGTTTAAATGTACTCTGGGGACTACTGCACTCATTGTGGACTCTCACTACCTTCAGTCAGGCTTCTCTCAGCCGGGGCTGGTTTAAATGTACTCTAGGGACTACTGCACTCATTGTGGACTCTCACTACCTTCAGTCAGGCTTCTCTCAGCCGGGGCTGGTTTAAATGTACTCTGGGGACTACTGCACTCATTGTGGACTCTCACTGCCTTCAGTCAGGCTTCTCTCAGCCGGGACTGGTTCAAATGTACTCTGGGGACTACTGCACTCATTGTGGACTCTCACTACCTTCAGTGAGGCTTCTCTCACCGGGGACTTGTTTTAAATGTACTCTGGGGACTACTGCACTCATTGTGGACTCTCACTGCCTTCAGTCAGGCTTCTCAGCCGGGGCTGGTTTAAATGTACTCTGGGGACTACTGCACTCATTGTGGACTCTCACTACCTTCAGTCAGGCTTCTCTCAGCCGGGGCTGGTTTAAATGTACTCTAGGGACTACTGCACTCATTGTGGACCTCTCAACCTGCCTTTCAGTCAGGCTTCTCTCAGCCGGGGCTGGTTTTAAATGTACTCTGGGGACTACTGCACTTCATTTGGTGGACTCTCACTGCCTTCAGTCAGGCTTCTCTCAGCCGGGGCTGGTTTAAATGTACTCTAGGGACTACTGCACTCATTGTGGACTCTCACTGCCTTCAGTCATGGACTTCTCTCTGTCGGGGTGGTTTAATGTACTCTAGGGACTACTGCACTCATTGTGGACTCTCACTGCCTTCAGTCAGGCTTCTCTCAGCCGGGGCTGGTTTAAATGTACTCTGGGGACTACTGCACTCATTGTGGACTCTCACTGCCTTCAGTCAGGCTTCTCTCACCGGGGACTTGTTTTAAATGTACTCTGGGGACTACTGCACTCATTGTGGACTCTCACTACCTTCATTGTGGACTCTTCTGCCTTCATTGAGGACTCTCCTGCCTTCAGTGAGGCTTCTCTCACGGGGACTTGTTTTAAATGTACTCTGGGGACTACTGCACTCATTGTGGACTCTCACTACCTTCATTGTGGACTCTTCTGCCTTCATTGAGGACTCTCACTGCCTTCAGTGAGGCTTCTCTCACCGGGGACTTGTTTTAAATGTACTCTGGGGACTACTGCACTCATTGTGGACTCTCCTGCCTTCATTTTGGACTCTTCTGCCTTCATTGTGGACTCTTCTGCCTTCATTGTGGACTCTTCTGCCTTCATTGTGGACTCTCACTGCCTTCAGTGAGGCTTCTCTCAGCGCAGACTTGTTTTAAATGTACTCTGGGGACTACTGCACTCATTATGGACTCTTCTCCCTTCATTGTGGACTCTTCTGTTTTCATTGTGGACTCTTCTGTCTTCATTGTGGACTCTTCTGTTTTCATTGTGGACTCTTCTGTCTTCATTGTGGACTCTTCTGTTTTCATTGTGGACTCTTCTGTCTTCATTGTGGACTCTTCTGCCTTCATTGTGGACTCTCCTGCCTTCATTTTGGACTCTTCTCCCTTCATTGTGGACTCTCCTGCCTTCATTGTGGACTCTTCTGCCTTCATTGTGGACTCTTCTCCCTTCATTGTGGACTCTTCTGTTTTCATTGTGGACTCTTCTGTCTTCATTGTGGACTCTCCTGCCTTCATTTTGGACTCTTCTGTCTTCATTGTGGACTCTTCTGTCTTCATTGTGGAGTCTTCTGTCTTTATTGTGGAGTCTTCTGTCTTCATTGTGGACTCTCCTGCCTTCACTGTGGACTCTCCTACCTTCATTGTGGACTCTTCTGTCCTCATTGTGGACTCTTCTGTCTTCATTGTGGAGTCTTCTGTCTTCATTGTGGAGTCTTCTGTCTTCATTGTGGAGTCTTCTGTCTTCATTGTGGACTCTCCTGCCTTTACTGTGGACTTTCCTACCTTCATTGTGGACTCTTCTGTCCTCATTGTGGACTCTTCTGTCTTCATTGTGGAGTCTTCTGTCTTCATTGTGGAGTCTTCTGTCTTCATTGTGGAGTCTTCTGTCTTCATTGTGGAGTCTTCTGCCTTCATTGTGGACTCTCCTGCCTTCACTGTGGACTCTCCTACCTTCATTGTGGACTCTTCTGTCCTCATTGTGGACTCTTCTGTCTTCATTGTGGAGTCTTCTGTCTTCATTGTGGAGTCTTCTGTCTTCATTGTGGACTCTTCTGTCTTCATTGTGGACTCTTCTGTCTTCATTGTGGAGTCTTCTGTCTTCATTGTGGAGTCTTCTGTCTTCATTGTGGAGTCTTCTGTCTTCATTGTGAACTCTCACTGCCTTCAGTGAGGCTTCTCTCAGTGGGGACTTGTTTTAAATGTACTCTGGGGACTACTGCACTCATTGTGGACTCTCCTGCCTTCACTGTGGACTCTCCTACCTTTATTGTGGACTCTTCTGTCTTCATTGTGGACCCTTCTGCCTTCATTGTGGACTCTCACTGCCTTCAGTGAGGCTTCTCTCACCAGTGACTTGTTTTAAATGTACTCTGGGGACTACTGCACTCATTGTGGACTCTTTTGCCTTCATTGTGGACTCTCCTACCTTCATTGTGAACTCTTCTGCCTTCATTGTGGACTCTCCTGCCTTCACTGTGGACTCTCCTACCATCATTGTGGACTCTTCTGTTTTCATTGTGAACTCTCACTGCCTTCAGTGAGGCTTCTCTCAACAGGGACTTGTTTTAAATGTACTCTGGGGACTACTGCACTCATTGTGGACTCTCCTGCCTTCACTGTGGACTCTCCTACCTTCATTATAGACTCTTCTGTCTTCAGTGAGGCTTCTTCTCTCCCCCCCCCAGTACCAACAATACCACCAGTCCGATAACATTCTTCTTTGCAAATATACAGGGTCTAAAGCCAGCAACAAACAACAAAATACCTTTCATCCGTGGACTGCTTGCAGAGGCAAAGGCAATGTTCGCGGCTTTCACCGAGACCCACATAAAGGATCACTTGGACAACGAAATATGGATCCCAGATTACAACCTATACAGATGTGACAGAGTGAACACGCAAAAGGGGGTGGGGTTGGCCTGTACATTGCAGAGTCACTTGTTTGCACAGAACTGCTTAATGCCTCAAATGATGTAGTGGAAGTTTTAGCAGTAAAGGTCGAGAACCAAAACCTAGTCATTGTGGTAGTCTACAAGCCTCCGGATGCAACATCCCAGCAATTCCAGGAACAGCTGTTAAAAAGTGACCACTGTCTGGAAAATCTTCCAGCTCCTGCACCCAACATCTTGCTCCTTGGGGATTTCAACTTAAGGCACCTAAAATGGAGGAATATAGCAAATAATATTGTTGCAGTAATAACACCAGGAGGCAGCTCTGATGAAAACTCACACTCACACGAGCTTTTAAATCTCTGCACAAAATTCAATTTAAACCAGCAAATAATAGAGCCTACTAGAATGGAGAATACACTAGACCTCATCTTCACTAACAATGATGATCTGATAAGAAATGTCACCATATCAAAAACAATATACTCAGATCACAACATAATTGAGGTTCAGACATATATGCGTGGAGCCCCAGACCGACATAATGAGACTAGTCACGAGGGAGCATTCACCAAATTCAACTTCAATAACAAAAACATAAAGTGGGACCAAGTAAACCAAGTCCTAACCGATATAAGCTGGGAAGATATACTAAGCAACACAGACCCCAACTTATGCCTAGAACAGATTAACTCGGTGGCACTCGATGTATGCACAAGGCTTATTCCTCTAAGAAAAAGGAGGAGTAGATGTAAAATAGAAACAGACAGGCGACGGAAAAGAATAACAGAGCGGCTAAAAGAGGTAAATCTATCTGAAATGCGTAGGGAGACACTGGTCAGAGAAATAGCAAGCATCGAACTTAAGCTAAAGGAATCTTATAGGAGTCAGGAATCGCGGGAAGAACTAAAAGCCATAAATGAAATCGAAAGAAACCCAAAGTATTTCTTCTCCTATGCCAAATCAAAGTCGAGGACAACGTCCAGTATTGGGCCCCTACTTAAACAAGATGGGTCCTACACAGATGACAGCAAGGAAATGAGTGAGCTACTCAAGTCCCAATATGACTCAGCTTTTAGCAAGCCGCTAACCAGACTGAGAGTCGAAGATCAAAATGAATTTTTATGAGAGAGCCACAGAATTTGGTTAACACAAGCCTATCCGATATTATCCTGACGCCAAATGACAGGCGATAAATGACATGCCCATGCACTCTGCCCCAGGGCCAGACTCATGGAACTCCGTGTTCATCAAGAACTTCAAGAAGCCCCTATCACGAGCCTTTACCATCCTATGGAGAGGGAGCATGGACACGGGGGTCGTCCCACAGTTACTAAAAACAACAGACATAGCCCCACTCCACAAAGGGGACAGTAAAGCAACAGCAAAGAACTATAGACCGATAGCACTAACATCCCATATCATAAAAATCTTTGAAAGGGTCCTAAGAAGCAAGATCACCACCCATCTAGAAACCCATCAGTTACACAATCCAGGGCAACATGGGTTTAGAACAGGTCGCTCCTGTCTGTCTCAACTATTGGATCACTACGACAAGGTCCTAGATGCACTAGAAGATAAGAAGAATGCAGATGCAATATATACAGACTTAGCAAAAGCCTTCAACAAGTGTGACCATGGCGTAATAGCGCACAAAATGAGTGCTAAAGG